ATCTCAGCAACAAAGCTGATTGCGCACGAACCAAGTTGGGATTCTTCATAGTCCATGAGGATCTACATTTTAAAAATAGTCCCACTCAAAAAGATTTTTAGCACCTCAGGCGGTTCCCTCGTTAGTTTGGAAAACGAGCTTGTAGCTCGTATTTTAATAACGTATAGATTCTTGAACTGTATATAATAAAAATTGTGCAAAGACTGAAGTGAAAACATTCTATTGAAATGTCTACGTTAAACAAAAGTTTTTCCGTGTATCATCACATTCGCTTTAAATGTGTGATGCACGGAAACACAACTCAGTCCCTTATCCAGTTTTGCGTTTCCATCACCAACATCATTACAAATTCTCAGTGCTAATCCACACTAAAATGCAGATGGTACATTTAGAATGTCACTAAAACTATTTTATCAAAGCTACGGTATTCATACATGAGATGAAGTCAGTTGTTTATGCCGCATTATCGAATAAGGAAGGGGCGTCGTATCTGGCACTATTAAATGCACCAACTGCTAGTTAAAGAATCCTTATTTTAATAAAGTAGGAACTACAAGCTACAAAGTTTGCACTTCACTCTATGTATTACATACAAATTTTAATAAAATAGTATAGGAATCCATATTATTAAAATACCAGACACAAGCTTGGTTTCCAAACTAAGATCACTTTTGAAAATTGATAGGATATGCCATTTTCCAAACTGAGATCATTTTTATTTCTTTAATTATAAAAAGTGATCTCAATTAAGAAGCCTCGGATTTCTTTCATGCAGCAAAGCCACAGAACGAAATTCATCTATATCTACGCGCAGACTTATTTTTGATCGCTTCCCTTAATGAGATATACTTGTGTTGAAAAATAACTAATATGGTCCAAATACAGAACTTTGATTTTTAGAGTTTTTTGTAAAACACAAATATCTCGGACAAACTGAATTCTTTGACGTACACTCTTTGTTAATGTTCATCGAAAGGTTGGCTTTATAGAAAGTCCTCTACAGAGAAAAAATCCGAAATGGTCGACTGAACTGTGCTCTATAGAAAAATGAGTGAAACGGATCATTCGTATGAAGAACGTATTTCAAATGGAAGTGACTTTTAGCGAAAAATAATTAGCAACCACTATGCCTTTTCTGCTCACTTTCATCTCACTAAAGTTAGGCTACTCTCAAACGACAAATGAATAGCTCAACTACATTAAAAAATGTTGACTTTCATTCTCACATTTTTTTAGTTTTGGTAATAAGTGGAAATAAGTCCTGGTCTCCAGTTAGCCATTTCTTTTGAGATTTGCCGAAATGCAAATAGTCAGTGAGTGAACTCATTTTCTGATTTTTAGACTCATTAGAACTGGACTTAGAAGTATTTTTATGACTAGTCTCGTTTACCCATTTTTCGTCTGCTACTATTATCCTGGTTTGCATCAAAATATTGATCGTCTTGTATTGCACTGCTTTGTCTCTTTTCATCCACGATAAAATCGTATTTTGAAATGGATTGGTGTTCACGCAGGAGGTTGTCGGGATAAATTTGATCTTGTAATATGTCAATTATATGATCAGTTGAGGTCGAAATTGCACGTATTTTTGGATAGTCGACTAATAATTTTTCATAATTTGTTTTATCAGAACAAAATATATAAATTGCATAAATTTCCTTCTTATCATGAATTACTGGTATTGTTGTTGTACAGTATCCATCCAACATAGCAATGTGAATTTTTTTAAAACTTTTTTCATTGCTTAACTTTTCAATATAATTTAAACATTTAATTTCATCAAAAAATACGAACAAGTTTTTATTTATACGTCTTAATTGAGATCTTAAGCCAATATCAAACCCAATTCTAATTTCATCTAACCATATTAAACATGTGTCAACTTCCATTTATTTTAATTTTCTATTCATACAGACAGTAGACGTTTTTTAATCGAACATTCTAGAAATATGATCATAAAAACGTTTTACAATGATATCTGTAGAAATTAACGATATCTGCGTCACAGGATTATAAAAAATATGTCTACCAGCGGTTTCAGTTTAAGAATCATTCGTTATTCTAAAATTAACTTTAGCGATGGTTCGACAGATATCTTTCAACACGAGCAAATTCTTGTACAGAAAAAGTTGTCTCGCTCTTTACATTTAATGTCTGAATATCTTTCTTAGTTTTTTAACTTTTCTCCTTCTTTCACTTATTCTATCGTCACATTAGAACTGCGAGAAAAATCATTTTTCTTTTACAAAAGGAAATTAAAAAGTCCTGTCTAGCATTCAGGTAGATATATATATATGTTGTAGGCAAACTTAAAATTCAGTCAAATTTAAAATCTGCCTAGGGAAAACTAAAATTCTAATTTTGACTAGAGCTTCGCTAGGCAAAATTAAAATTCTAATTTTGACTAGGCAAATCTAAAATTTGACTGGAAGACCTCTAGACAAAGGTGAAATTCTAACTCTGACTAAAAATAAGTAGACAAAATTAGAATTCGACATTATTTTCATGTAATGTCGGGTTTAATCTTAACTGGCATTGTGCGTCTAAGACATCCTAACATAGAGTGAACAATAATATGTTTCTACTCCCTTCGATCATTTTTCCCGTAACCCAATGACAATGAAAAGTAGATCTATCGAATAAATTTAACACGAGACTTTCTTTTCTCACGTTTGTATAAAAGGCAGAAAGGTCAAATAATGTTTTTGTTTTTGTGCTAGTAAGGTGCTTTGTTTCTTTTTTATTCTATACATTGTATAGATGATAATCAGGCCTTTCTAGAATGACATAAAATTCTGTATATAAGCTAGAGAGAATGTACATGTTAGGTAATTTCAACGTTTCACATCGTCTTTTAATAAAAATGTCTATCACTACTTGTTCTTCTGCTACTACTGCTACTTCTTCGTCTTCGGATTCTCTCGTTCGTACTGCTGAGAAATTTTTCTACAACGAGCTCAATGAAGTTTTGAATTCATTGAATAGCAAATTTCGAGAAAAAGCTGTCGTCAAAAAAGGAACTTATGATAATATTTTAAAAGCATTAATCTTGGAAAAAGGTAAGAGTTTAGCTAGTATAAGTTCTCAGTTCATATTTTGGGTTAAAATGAATTTTGTGTTGGTTAAATATGCTGGCGTCGATTGGATTTGTTATTCGAAAACAAAAAAACCTATCTGTGTTTTTGAAAGTCTGTACAATATTGTGCATGAAACCTGTGAAAACATATCTCACGGTGGCAGAGAATATAAATGTTGGGAGAGCTGCTGTCTAACTATTCGTGGATTCCACGAAAATCGATCGAAATATTCTTGAAACACTGTGGGCAATATCAGGTCAGAAAATCAATCAAGCAGCATGTTGTGTCCAAACCGATTGTTTCTCTAGGAGATATGACTCGCTTACAAATTGATTTGATTGATATGAGAACGAGACCGGATGTCGTATCGAGTGACATAGTGTATTTGTGGATATTGGATTGCATCGATCATTTTCAAAGTTTTCATGGACTTTTCCTTTGTTAAACAAGTCGGCAAATGAAGTTTCTCTACTTTTGAAAGGATTATTCTACGTTTTTGGACCACAACGTTTACTACATTCAGACAATGAAAGAGAGTTTGTTGCTAGTGTAATTGATGGCAAGAAAGTTTTATTTCCATCTATGTGCTTCGTTCGAGGACGATCTCGTCATCCACAATCTCAAGGATGTGCTGAAAAAGCGAATGGTGTGTTGACCGGAGCGTTGGGGAAATGGATGGCGGACGAAGATTCGGTTCATTGGACTGAAGGCTTACTACCGGTTGTTTATGGAATTAATACAAGAATGTCTTCTGTAACTAAAACTACTCTGTACGAAGTTCTTTTTGGTCAAAAGCCGCGTTCAGATGTGGAATTTGGCGAGTAGTTAAAGAGAACAATATTTTAAACGAAGACGATTTGCCGGGTAATGTAGAGGAAATTGATGAAACTCCAGCTGAAAAAGTCACTTCAGACTTGCTGGATTTGGACAAAGAATTAGATACTCTAGTTGTTAATGATGCAAATGAAAAAGATACTTCTATCTCTGCTGTCCGGTTTATGTTGACACCACTGCTTCTCTTGCTATGTTGCTTACTTCTTCGGTTACTGGTCTCGATGATGGTACAACACTTGTTAACCTTATTTCTATTGATTCTCCGAAATCTCCTTCAGGACCTATTCAAGATCTTTCCGTTGTTGTTGATGTTGCCATTCCAGACACTGTATGTTAAATTTATTCGATGGATCTACTTTTCATTGTTATCGGGTTAAGGGAAAAATGATCGAAGGGAGTAGAAACATATTATTGTTCACTTTATGTTAGGATGTCTTAGACGCACAATGCCAGTTAAGATTAAATCCGACATTACATGAAAATAATGTCGAATTCTAATTTTGTCTACTTATTTTTAGTCAGAGTTAGAATTTCACCTTTGTCTAGAGGTCTTCCAGTCAAATTTTAGATTTGCCTAGTTAAAATTAGAATTTTGATTCTGCCAAGTCAAATTTAAAATCTGTCTGGTCATATATATCACATATATATCTAAGATATATTTTCATTGATATTTGCTTCGCATTTGTTCTATTGTCTCTCTACAGAACAGAGAATGAAAAGAGCAGTATGAAAAATATTGTGTGTAATCAATCGCTTATAACTTACTCATTTGTTGACCAAATTAAATAATTCTTTGAGCATCAGATTCGCAAGACTTTTTTCTATTCACAAATGTGAAAAAGGACAAGACTTCTACAGTACAAGTAAGTCCCTGCAATGGACTCGCTTAAAATCAACATGTTTATTTTCCCGTTCAAACATCCTACATGCTGATTTTAATCGAGTCCATTGCAGGGTTCTATTGTAGAAGTCTTGTCCTTTTTCACATTTGTGAATAGAAAAAAGTCTTGCGAATCTGATGCTCAAAGAATTATTTAATTTGGCCAACAAATGAGTGAGTTATAAGCGATTGATTACACAGAATATTTCATACTGCTCTTTTCATTCTCTTTTCTGTAGACAGACAATACAACAAATGCGACGCAAATATCAATAGAAATATATCTTAGATATATATATATATATATCTACTTGAACGCTAGAGGCCTCTTAGTGTAATTTCACCTTGAAAATAAAGCACAAGCAAATATTTGATAAGATAGTAAAAAGAGCCCGGAATCACCAATGTAACGTTGAAATTTTATCAAGGATACTAAACATTGTGATTTTTTTATATACTTGAGTGTAATGAAACATCATGAGGACTCAATTATTAAAATAGAATAATACAGTAGAAAAGAAAGGAGTCAAAAGAGTTTGATCGTGTGTCTATGGTTGCATTACTCAAAAAACAGGTCTGTGTAAGAAACCTGAAAAGGATGTAGAACGGTGCAACCATTTCTAAATCCTTTTAAGTTTCGCAGAAGAAAACGTAGGGTACGAAACCGTTTAACCTCATAAATTCTATTAGTTTTTTTTCTAAAACTTTTTCGCTGAACAAGAGGATCAATTCATCAACTTAGCCGTGCTTTCGTAGTACAGGGCGGCGTAAACTGAGGCAAAACAATACCTGAAACTTCTTTAATTTTTCGCGACACAATCATGAGGAAAAACATAACGAAATAAACAAAAGCACTGACCAGTCGTTGCAGTGCACTTGAAACGGTTTCGTACCCTACCTTTTCTTCTACGAAACCTCAAAGGATATACATATGGTCGCACTTCTCTAGCCTTTTGGATTTTGTACACAAACCTTTTTTTAGAGAGTAAGTAGCGTATACATTAGTTATCCTATAGAATTTGGTATCTTTTATCTCAAATTTTATTTATTGCAAGGAAAAATTTAACAATAGCTCGAGTATCTGACATAAGTTCATCGTCAGAGACGATAGAACAAGATTGTGAATCACTTGTGTTAATAAATGAGATTCAAATTCAATTTACGAAAATTTTGCATAAAAATTTCGGGGCTTCTTAACTAACGAGGTAACCTCCAGGGTGGTAGCTTTCAGCTGACAATGAACAATTTAGGGATTTTGTTATCAATTCTATAACTTTTTAACGAAAGGCCGTGTAGAGCTGAGAGATGTCTCATTTTAATCAAAAATTTGCGTGCTACAATCCTGCATTATTAAGAAAGATTTGGGCTATTTTTTAGAGTTTCTGAAACTGGTTTTCCAGAAGACCGAATCTTCGAAGAGCTATGGGAACCCCATGACTATATTCGGACTCAACATGGTCGATAATCTATAACCCACTAGATTTTGATCAAAAAGCGATTTATCACCTCGGGAGGTTCCCTCATAAGATCACTTTTTATAAAATAATAAAAGTAAAATGATCTCGGTTTGGAAAACAATCTTTTGTAGCGCCTATTCTAATAAAATAGGAATTCTTAAACTAGATATGTGCACGACGTCCTCTCGATTCTTTGATCTGGTCAAATTTCTGCTAACATAATAAAGTTATATGTAATATCTAGAGTGAAGTGAAAGTCTAAAACACTATTTAAATGTCTACGTTGAACAAAAGTTTCTCTTATACTAAAAACCAAATGGCTAATGACGTGTGAAAAAAGTTATCCTTATACTCTAAGACGTTCATAGACGTTATAATAAGTGATCAGAAGAATCTGTAATGGTACAATATGAACAAGAGCAACGTCAGCAAAGAACTACATGTCTTAGAAAGAACATCGGGCAATTTTAATTACATTTTTCATTCTGTCAGCCGCTGTCAATGCCGTTTTAGTAAAAACAATCAGAGATTCAAATCTTAGACTTCATGAGAGGTAGAAGAACAGAAAGTGCTGTGAAGATGTCTGAACATTATTTCTTATCTGTAGAAGCTGATAGTATATAGAAATACAAAAAGCAATCCAAAAAAATTTCGTAAAAATCAACAATAAGGCTCTACAATCACCTTTGCGCATTGAAACATCTTTATTAAATATTAATACAGAAGAAAAATGTTTCAACTTTTTTGTAGGAAAACTTAATCATTCGATAGTGGTTCAGTTACGCTCGTCATGAAGAAACTTCGATAGCTATAAAATATCCGATTAGTCCATTGGACATTAGTCACCAAGTACTTTTCTAAGTACTGGGTTTCAAGTACACTTGGATAGTGTTCTAATGTCAAAAAATCCTTTTCATAATTGTGCAATTGACATCTTGCGTTATCATTAGGACACGACCTTTCAAATGAAATAAACAAAATGAAAGATGATTTGAAAAGCTTAAATCGATAAAGTTAGCTTTCAAACAGCACCTATTTCGAATGTCATCTATCAGACGGATCTCTAAAATACTGAAATACAGCGTATCCCTCATATCAGAAAGTCACTGATTGTACAAATCACAGCACAATCCGTATAAACTCGAATAAATTAGGAATAAAGGAGTCTATAAGACACAGCTCATTTTTGTTTTTCCTACAATAAGTAAAATTATCTATAATTTCACATACGGATTTAACTTACATGGTTCTAACGTAAGCCAATTTTACTAGTACATCACCTAACCGCCTAATAACTATCGTGCAACCAAAAAGACTGCTTCAAGTGTTGAAAAGTGTCCAAAACTATTTAACTTTTCACTTTCAATTCTCATAGATAACTTATATTGACGAGTGTTTTACAAAATACAAAAAATTTCGACTAGTGCTTCTTCCGGGATAACTGGAAAAAAAATGCATGACAATGGTAGTATTGATTGGATAGAGTCAGACGCAATTAGGGAAAAAGGTTAGTAGAACATTGGTAAGTGTTGGACTAACTACTGACTTTTTTGTTTCCTCAACAATGAAAGCTGTATTTTATTTGTTAGATATCCTAAAATCTATTATTATTTTCTTCAACATAGAACTGCTATGAATGGTTTGCTTAATGTTTCACTTAGAAAATCCGTTCCAACGAACAGAGATCATTGATCTTTTTTGCTTCCATTTGGAATGGATATTAGACATCTGCGGTTGTGTCGATCACCCATGCCTAAACCCGTGCGTATGGGTATCCATGGGCATGAGCATGGGTTTTTTCCAGGAGTATCAGTACCCATCAGAGTTTTCTGTTTTGCAGATTACCATTAAAATTTCTTTAAAAGCTTTTATTTTAAAAAAGGAAGACCATAAGCAACAGAAACGTTTTTTCTTCATGGATCTGAATCGTATGGTTCTTTAGCGTTCATAACATAAGCTTCGCTATCACTTGCTTGTGTAATACTATTGGCTGTAGAACATTTCTTGTTTCCTTGAGTGATATTACTAAATATAATGTAATAGTGAGAAAATGTGGTAGAACATAAGGCTATGCACTAGGACTGTGAAAACGAAAAGAAAAACGAAAGAAATCAGAAAGCTTCATAGCTGCTATACATTTCAAAACACTATGCCATATTATCGTTTTCTAGACTTTCACTTTTATTACTACCATTAGAAAGAGGATAGTCGGAAGGATCTTTTTATGGCCAATATGATTCTCGAAATCGGTCTTTGAACATTTTCTAGAAAGTTTCAGAAAATGCAAAAAGATCAACTACAAGTTTATTGGTGTTTTCCTGTGTATGAGTAGTTCAAAGCTTTTTTGTTGAAAATCAAGCAAGTTGTTGATTTTCAAAATAACTCAGTATATGACCAGTTTTGTCTCTTGAACGTGATCATAATCAAATGATCAAACTAGCTTTGTAAGCAATGCACGTCTATGGGCATGTTCCATGGCAGGGCTGGACAACTCCGCTGACTTTCAGCTCCAACTCAACTCCGTTTTCAAATTTCCAACTCCAACTTCAACTCTCTCAACAAAAATCTCAACTCCAGTTCAACTCCGGTTGCTTCACTTTTGTAAGGAAGATTTTGTGGTTTTTAGCAGTATTTTGGACGTTTTTGAGCCTTTT